ATAAATTTTAAATAAATAAAAAGAGTTTATCATTTAATTAACATGTAAAATTATTAAAAAAAATAATACAAAAAATTTATTTCAAAATTATTTTTTATATAAAAATTATATAAAAAAAAATATTCCCATTAAACAAAACATTACCATCGTTTTATATAGAGTTATGCGAAGGATTGTGGCAGCGAGAGAGAGTGGGAAGATACATGAGAAATGAAAATTTGTTGTAATTGTATTGTATGAGTCATTTTCCACTCAGCACAAGAACAAGCGTTTGCCAAAAGGTACAAGGAATAAAAGGGTAACCTGGTAAGATGGCGTTTGGAGGCCCATTTATCCCAACATATTAAATTGGGCCTCCATAGAATCCTAAAACGTACGTAATGGACCTAACAAAATTTCTAAAACAAGTCCTGGTCCAGCCATGTCAACTCATTGGGTTAAACAGAACAGGAGTACCTTATAGGCCCTATACCCAACCCTGATCTCGCGTTTAGATTTCTGCTGTTTTCTTCTCATTTCCTCCTTAACCATGCAATTAACAAGATTCTGTTGCAAAATCTGGTAAAATGTCATTCTCTCTGGACTGCTGAAGCTGCCAAATTTCTGAATTAAGTTAGAGAAATTAACGGTTAAGCCGCATACGTTGGTCATTTTCAGTTAGTTAATAACAGCCAAAATCTACTGGAAAGACAAATTTAAAAAAAGTGGTGTAACTATAACCTGTTAAGTTTTTAATTTCTTCTAGGGAAGCTTCAATAATCTCCTGAATTTGTAGAGTAAAGACGAGGGTAGGAGTTGTTTTAGAGTATTGAGTGAAGGGAGGATCAAATATTAATTAATTAATTAATATAACACAAAGGCTAAGAGTAAGAGGTCTCTGCACGGAACCCTAAAGAATGTTGGATTTGTCAACATTTTTGATCCCCCGGAATGTCTGTTTGGTGCAATCACGTTACTTTCTAGCAGCTTCATCTACTAGCTGTTAAAAATTCCATCTTGTTTTGTTTTGATGGTGTACTTAGGCTGCTATTCTCTTGCAGGAGTGGTGACCATTGCCCTAATCCGCACGTTATTGATAAAAAAATTTAATTTTTTAAAGAAATCAATACAAAAAATTCATTATAAAATTTCTACTTATATATAACCTGACTTAATTAAACAAAATCATTAAGTCTTGAGATTCAGATTTGCACAAACTTACTCAAAAATATTAAATATTAACTATTAATTATAAACTATTCAAAACAGTTAAAATTAAATTAATTTTAACTTTAAAATGTATTAAAACTTTTTTTCTCCTCGGAAAAATTAGTAGAACCGATTCTAGCTCAAAATTATTCTAGCAGGACGACCGATTACAGACACGATAGTACTCTTTTTTTGAAATTAAATATTACTAATCATAATTTTCATTAAAAAACAAAAAACCTAATCATATATAATCTTCATACTATAATATATGCAACCGCGCGAACCCAACAAAGTCCTCCATATTCACTTCTACAGCAAGTTCATATATTCCGTAATATGATGAAATCAGGCTGTGTAGCCGGAGGCTGCCGGAACGTCGAGAGCCCCCTCAACCTCAAGTGGCCCGAAGGAGAAAAAAAGTTTCTCAAAAAGTTAATTATTGAAAACGAGAAATTAGCCAAGAACTCCTCTCCTCTTTCCGACCGCTCTCAAGGACCCACCAAGTCCAGGAGTCTTCCTTCTGATTTTGAGCCATCGGAATGTAGCGAAGGGTATTCTTATGCATACAGCAGGAGGAGATTCATCGGAATCTACAGGTTCACGATGAAGAAAGAGGAAGAGAGCGTCGTGAAGAGGACTAAAAGGTGGTTTAGGGAGAGGCGCCAGAGGAAGAGCAGAAAGTCACAATTGGACAAGTCTGTGAACGGTGGTTCTGCAGGTTGCTTTCCTTTGTCCTGGTTGAAGGTGTTGCTGGTTTGCGTTGCTGAAGTTGATGTTCATGATCATGTCCAGAGTTCTGTATGTCGAACGACCGCTCCAACTAAGGTCTATCCCAATGAGTTTCTGGCTTCTTAATTATCAAGCAATTTAGGACATTGAAATGTTGTCTTTCAGTCATCACTCTGTACTTAAAAAACATCTGTACAAAGTAGGAAAAGCATAAACATCAATTTCTTGCATTCTTAAGAGTATTTTTATTTTTTTCAATTTCTTACTAATGTTTTCAAGGACAGTTACTAAGAAACATTTCTATTTAGGACAATTGAGACACTAATTATATTTTATAATGGGGGCTGGGTCATGGATCTGAAACTAGTCTCCCTTGTAGATGGGAATAAAAATCTTATACCAATTCAGCTGCAAATTCATGCGCAATTTTAGTCTTTTTAAGTTAAAGAAAAGAGAGGAGAGGAGAAAGTGCGATGACAATAATTTGTGGTTTTCTCAATCCTTTGAATTCTGGCAATTAGAAAGTGCAGGACTTTCCTATTAAAAAAAATGAAGAAAAAAAACTGCAGGACCTCGGGAATATGAACCGTAGTGAATATAAACTCAGTGACTTCTTATAATTAGTGTCATGAAGGGTTATAAATAGTGTTAAGAAGTGTAAATTGATATTTTTTAGGTTACTGAATTATAAAATATAGACTAATTGATGAGTGGAATTTATGTTAGATCAGGAGCCTCCATTCCCTTCTTGTTTTGTTTTTTTTTTTTTTT